ATATATATATATATATATGTACAAATATGTCTGGAAATTATGCTCCTCTCCTGAAAGAATTTGAAACGTACCACCAACAGGCGGCCGGGATGGAATAGAACTGACTGCCTTCTTCATCTTTTTCAATAAAATAAACAAGTGTACTGAAAAATATGACACCGGTGAGGACGACCATTGCCATCATACCCAACTGCCGGAAGCTGGCCTAAAAATTCGTAGCATTGCCTATTTCTTGAACAAAACGAAAATGAAAAAGAAGACTAGCAAAACAATCGAAATGTGTGAGTAAGCTTCACAACAAAAATAGAGTGAAAATCTTTTGACCTTCAGCGTACGTCCAAACATTTGTAAGCCACTGCTATAACGACCAAGTTTCAATACACGAATGACCCGTAGAACACGTAAAATTCGAATCACTAAGAAGGCACCCTGCAAACTTTAATGACTGTAATTTTTTGGACACTCGAGACTGCTACCCAATACTTCGCATGGGGTTACTTACAGTGCAACAAAAAATAGAAACCTCTGGGGATTAAGTTTTACCGGCATACTCGGAAAAGCAAAGGTTCTGTTAACTGCCTGTTAAAAGCGATTTTCATAGAATAAAACGAATGTCGAATTTTCTTTTAGCTAACAAAAAAGAGATGAAATATTTTCGTGATCCAGAAGCGGCATGGGCCATTGCCACTCACTGGCCGAATAATGGGAGCAGAGGTAGATTTCTCGTATCGAAAATTTTCAGTGTCCTAAAAACTATTTTCCCGGAAAACTTGAAAATTTTGGTACTGTTAAGGTCCAGTAGTGTCGCCAGCAGAATTTTGTGGTCAGAGGGCCTCAAAAGCTGCAAATCCTCCAAGATCCACTTCTGTAGAGTTACAGAAGTGGATTTTAGAGGATTTGCAGTTTTTGAGGCTCTCTGACCACAAAATTCGCTCTTAGCAAACATAATACTCAAATATTTTAAGCTGATTATGCGCTTCCGAACGAGAAACTGTGGATATGAACTCACATTTGCTGTTGTTAACATTATTATCAGTTGAGTTATTCGGCTTTTCATTTACACAGAAGTGTTTACGAAAGGATTTAGCATCTTTGAATTAGTGGTTTTATTCGCTTAGCTACAATACTACAATTAGCTTTTGAAATCTGTCTGCAACAAATAGCCAGTAGAATTATAAATAGTGAAACCTTGAGATCTCTCATATTTTTCGTATTAAATCCGACCAGGCTGAGGGCAATTTCAATGATGAACGGTAGAATGGCAAGCAGATCGATGATGTTCAGCAGTCTGAGAAAGGTCATCAGGCGATCGTAGCTTATCACCATTTTCAACGCATATTCAAAAATGAACCACACAATACAAGCGAATTCCAAACGATCGAATAACGGCAGAGGCTCCGTTTCGATGATATGATGGTCGGATGAGCCTATAATGCAAGACTGGCTTACTCTAAAATTGCTACTCTGAACATATTTTATAGCGTAACATTATGCAGAACTAGTAATCTTCGCACAAAGAGTGTTTCTGAAAGTTTTTGGAAGTGGGTGGGAGGGGAAAATTTATTTCCCAGAAAAGTTTAAATTAATTATTTAATTGAAATTTTGTTAATAAAAAAGCCAATTAACAACTTGATTAATGGTTATACCAAAATGTCGCTAATTTTCCTGGAAGTGCTTGCAGTGATCTTACTGTTTTTTAACGATCCTTCTAATTCACTGCTAGATAGGCATAAAAAATGCATTTTCGCACGATGTAAACTGGAACAATTTGGCGCTGTTTCTTTTTTGTTCGTAAATTTTCTTTTTTGAATCCTAATCCAAATACCAAACTGTCTTGATTAGTAGGCGAGGTTAAATAGCGAAGACAAAGCAAATGTGACATTTTAAGGAACTTTTAAGGTTTATTTAGTTTTTATGGTCTTGTATGTATGCAAATACAAAAACGCTTATTGTAATGACTCGGTGAATGTGTGTTTGTGCGCGTCTGCCCGGTTATTTCAATTCGGCAACCAAACATTCCCCAGTGTCGAGAAGATATAACTTCTCGAGAAGTATGATCAGTATAGCTTAAACCAAATTCAAAAATGGATGTTTTATGTGTGTGTGTGTGTGTGTGTGTGT